TCACTCAGGTGTTGATAAATAAACGATGAAATATGACAGCAGTTCTATACAAGGTTTTGTGCATTCCCATTTTGCAGATGAGAGAATTCAGGTCTAGAGAGGAAACAGTTCTCCAGGTCATGCAGGCGATAGCTGGCAGAGGGAGACTGAAAAGCTGACTCTAATACTTCCCACAAAGGGCCTCTGGGACTGTGTCATACAAGCTGGCAGTGGTAGGCTGGAGCACACACTTTCTGGAGCACCAGGCTCTGCAAAGTAGCTTTGGGAAACTGGTATTTGTCATGGTATTAGTATTTACACTACGGCAATGAGCAAAGGACTTCACTAGTCAGATCTCCACTTGCAGAGAGATGGGCTATCAGCTCACCTCTGGGTATTTGTGACTCCAATGTATTCTGCTACTTCTTTGTTGTGCTTTTACTACTCCATTCATTCACATGCATCTTTCTCCTGTTCCCTTCCTGCTGAATCAACTCTGAAGGTCTGGAGGAGGAAGCGTGCTGTCCTCAGAGGCAGGAAGGGGAATCACAATTCTCTCCTTGGTCTGTGTGTCAGACTCAAGGCCCCTGATTTGTCTGGGCCTTTCCATAAAGTCAGTCCTTATTCTCAGCAGACTGACACAGACAGTGCAGGGAATCCAGATGGCACGGAAGTCTTTGCCTTCAACCTGCAGTTCTCAGGGAAGTGGGTGTTAGTGGGTTTTCTTTTCACAGTGCTTAAGGACTACTATTGAGGGTGGTTCAGTCCAGCTGCTCGGAGAAGTTCTTAGACTCTGCTCAGAGTAGTGTTGGATCCTGAGATGCCCAGAACCACCTCACCTCCACCCCACATGAGTGCTAAGCTCTTTGTAAGCAGGGGAGCCAACAAATCTTTCAAGAGGCTGCTTGCAAATGCTTTATGGCACGTAGGGCTATAGGGCGCTAGCTGAACAAATGGAAAATTCGTCTACCTTAAAATACCCAAGGCCAGTCATTTCCCTTCATCTTGTTTCTTAAATGTACTTAACATTGAGAATCTGGGCTTCCCAAATATGAATAAGGGTCACTAAGGAAGATGGTAACTCAGAGATGAAACTGCCATGTGAACAGTTGCCTGGAAAAGGAAGCCGTGAGCTCTTCTCTTCAGAACTGGAGTGAGGAATTGAATCGAATCATACCAGTGGCTAAGTCTTCTGACCAGAGTGGGCAGGAGCTGACCTGGTGACCTTGTGAATTAAGGAGCTCACTAGCACAACGTTTATTCTCTTCATCCCCCAAGTCTCATACTTAGCATTGGGCTGGGATGGATTGGCTGGTTCTTGTAGGTCCCTTTTTTCTCGGTTCTAAACTACTCAGTTGTCTACAACTAAGTACCCTCAGTGTCTTGTATCTGAATAATTCTTTGCTGAATAATCAACAGATTGCTGGGATTGGTGACTTCCCCAAGTCTCAAGGGGAGAGGGATGCCTAGCAGTGCTCTGGGGTGTTCCTGATTCTGTGTTCAGAAGTGACCCCTGGCGGTACTTAAGGACCATATGTGGTATTAGAGATTCGAACCAAGGCTGGTGGGTGCAAGGAAAGTGACTTAATCCCTGTACCATCTCTCTAGCTCTTGGGAATTGTGATTTTAAGTGATGCATGAGGAAACCAGATCCTCAGATAACTTATAGACCCAGGTTTTGTAACTTAAAAAAATCAACAGTGCAACTAAACAAAATGTAGTGTAACTGAACAAAATTATGTTGTTAGAAGACCTGCTGAATTCTTTTCCCTTTTTATTTCTCCATCCTTTGTCCTAAGCCCTTTGCTCTTTTTAAACTTCCATTCTTCATCTCACTTACTCATTTACTCCTTTCTAGTACTTTCAGAAAGAATTTCTAAAAATTGTTTTATTGATTGGAATTCTGTGGTTTCAATTCTGTCACTAATGGTTTATCATGCACATAATTCCAACACCACGCCTATCATCAGTGTATCCACCTCCCTCTAAGGACCCTAACACCCCTTCTTCTCATCTCAACCGCCGACTGCCATCCCAATTGTGTGGATCACAACTGAAGGTACCATTATGGTACCTTAAATAAAGATTATTAGAAATGATCTTTGTATTAGGTGGCAAGAATGCTACTTTTTTGCAATACACCTGCAAAAAGTTCGTCGTTATGGGTAGGGTATCCCACACAGGCATGTAGGAGTGTTGTGGGGGAGAGCAGAAGACTGTGGATATGCGTGGAACCTGCCATTTGGGGCTGGAGAGGAGCCCCAAGAGGCAGGTTCTATGATCAGTTATTTGATCAATGATCAGAAAACCGAGAAAACATTTTCAGGGGAATTAGAGGAACACAGGGTTGCAGGTTGAGCAAGTGGCAGGTGCAAAAGCCCTGAGGGATAAAAAGATACAGCTCAGACACAAAGTGGAAATTAAGGCTTCAGGACTGAGGATGATGATGAGACGGATAGAATTCATTAGCAAGGGCCCCTCACAACACCTCCTCAAGGACAGGAGACTGGATTGGGAAGGCAGTGGGCTGACTGGAGCCCTGAGCCACATGAATGAAAGGAAGTAAGTTAACCCATTCAGTCCCCTTCTCACAGAGGCCTGGTGTCATTGTGTGGATGAGTAATCTGACCTTAATGTTGGTAACTGGGGGTGGGGAGACTGTGACTCATGGGCTAGGGTCTGAAAATAAACCAGCCCTGTAACTTCAGATGCAAATAAGAAATGGAGTTGGGGGCTCATGGCAGTGGATCTTTTGTGAGGGAGAAGCTGGATCCTGAGATATAGGGTCTGCTGAACATTTTAAACATCCTCCCTGCACCTTTTGGCAGGCAAATGACTTCACAGGCCATGCATATGAGTCACTAAATTCTAAACCTTGGGTGAGAAAACCAAGTTTGACAAATGTGTTCAGCTACTAGAATAAAGACCCAGAGTAAGAACAAATCAAGTAAGAGTGGCCATACCAAAGGTATTGGATCTCTGCCTCGTCACACACACACACACACACACACACACAGGGTCACTCACATCCACACATGTGTACATGCAACCTTACACATTAGCACTCACTTGTTCATACTCTTTTGCCATTAAGACAAACTCACACCATCACATACATATCATCAAATACACAGCCTCCTTTTCAGGCACACACACACACACACACACATACACATGAACAACCATAAACATACCCTCAGACATATGTTCTGGTACACATGTGTATGCTCATGCACAAAACTGTTTTCCACATGAAAATATCCATTACAAAAATCAATTCCTAAATTAACGCATGCCAACGCAATCAAATTAAGTGATCAAAAGATAAAGCAAAGGCATATGTAGGAAAGTTGGGGGTAGTTCATGGGGTTTGGAAGGCAAGAAACAAGAGGGAAAAATCAGTCAGCCAGGAAAAAGCGAGAATTCAAAAACCACAGTTCAATGTGTCTCAATATTTTGTTTATAATGTCTCTAAAGTCCCTCTAGTACCTTTATGGCTTGGAAAGAAACGACTGCACAAGGCTTTGTTTTCTTCTCTGGAAACAATCCTCACCCTGCAGTTATCTCTAGAGGAAGTGACCAAGGAGGCCTGGCCTTTGACTGCTGACCAACATCCTGGGGCAAGGAACTGACACCCTTTCAGGACACCTGCAGCTACACCCCCAGCACTAGTGTGGCCAGCAGGGTTCAGAAGCTTTCAGAGGCCTTCTTTCCACCCTCTCCTTCAAGACCAGGAACAGTCTGATCTCTTCAAATGTACATAAATCCAAGAGGTTTACAAAGCTTTCCTCACCCCAAGCAGAGGCTCTTAAGAAAGACAACCCCCCACCCCAGGGTGCCAGCCACAGCCGGAACTACTCTAGGCAGCACACTCACTCACACAGTCCTCGCTGTGCTGGCGGGGACCAGTGACAGAACACTGTCTGTCCAAGGCCCAACTATGTAAATCACGGTGCTTTAATAAAATCAACTAGAGAAAAAAAAGCTCTGCCGGTGCTTCTGTAGGGATGAGCTCATTGGATAACACAAATGCATCCATGTATGTATGTATATATATATATATATATGTATATATATATATATATATATGATGGTTGGTTGGATTTTTAAGGTAAGCATCCTTCAAAGTAACACCTTCCAGTTACTAACTCCTCCCAGAAATAAACCACCTCACTGCTCTTTGTCAAGGAACTTGGGAACATTTCCAAGAGGTTTCCAAGCAAACTCTCCTTCCCCGCCCCATGTAGTTTTCTTGAGTGAAACCTCAATGACCATTTTGGTTGCAAAAGCTGCTGCTGGCAAGGAGTTAAAAATGAATCTATTTTGGCAAAGGGGGAAATGATTTGGGGGAATGGAATTAAACTTCGGTAGTTTTTCTTCCTCTCCTCAATTGTAGTTTTGTTCATTGCTTCAGCTGGGAGAGAGAGGACGCACATTTAGTTTGGAGTTTATGAGTTCATATTTTATAATTAACGTTGCCAACAGGGGAGTTTGATTAATACCAAGCAGTGGATTTTGAGCAATGTTCCATACAAATTGCCAAATTTAGCAATAAAATAAATTGGTTATGTGAACATAATTAGTAGGATGACTACTTAAAATTCAAAACCGAATGTGAATAATTCCAAATCATCTCAGCCACAAATCCATTATTTGTATAGAAGGGGAGAAAAGTATAGCATTTGGGTTTTATTTTGCCCTCAACCACAATGTTATTTCGCTACCAAGCTGAACATAATGAAACTTCTACAATGGGCTGTGACAATATTTTAGCTCAACCCAGACACACATACACACACTCACACACACATACACACGCGCACACACACACGGGTGCACACACATACACAAAAGGAAAGTAATAAATATAAGAAATGTTAAACGTTGTATTTTCATTGCAAATGTAAAAATATGTAACAAATTTTTCGGCACATACTGCATCACATTTTCTGATGCGCTCCACATAAACCCCAAGAACACAATGATGTATCACAGCTTTTCCCTTTAAATATTCACAGTACCTTATTGTCACCCTGTACTTCTCCAAGTCTTTGCTGAAGCTCTTTAATTTCTTCTCCCAGACGCTTATTCTGGTCCTGAGAATCTCTCAGTAGTTGTGCAAGATTAGCCTGGAAATATCAACACATTATGAAATGCAACCAGAAACGGAGAAGTTGGATGGCAAATGCAAAGCTTAATGGTTTATGGAGTTGGGTGTCCAGTCCAGCTGAAATACACACAGCCATTATAGTGGATGCATATCTGAGCACAGCAAGTGTGCAAATCAAGCCACTCTAACTGCATGAAGGGAAATGAACTTGGCCATGAACCTCATTTGAGGGATGCTTTTTGTTTCTATTATGACTCACAGACAAGTAATGGAGGAGTCAGTCTTAGATGATGGTTTGGAAATCAAAATTTTTAAGTGTGCCCCAATTAAAAACATTACAAATGGCTACTGGGTTCAATTCTAAAATTTAGGCCAACCACATGAAAAAAAAAACCACCACACTTCCTTTCTATGTATAGTGGCCCTCCACTCCCAAAGATCTTGTTTTAATGACTTCTTGATGTCCAGTATCTCTGCTTCAAAGGAGTACTGACTGAGTACTCTCTCACTGAGAGGTGGAGCAGTGATCTGTCATGACTTTAGAAATCAGAATCAGAGGTAACAACATTATCCTGAACTGGCTGTCCCCCAAATTTATGCCTCAGTTGTAACTCACTGAGATTCTAATGACTATGATGACCCCTTTCAATGACATCTTCAGATCATTCCTTCCATTGGATTTGTCTTATGCTGAGATGCAGATCCCAGGGTGACCATGGGTGGCTCTCCCTTAGCTTCTATTCTTAATCCAGCTCCATCTCACACAATCAGTACTCCTTTCTGCAGATCATGGAACTTTTAACCTGTTCCAACAGGTTAAAGATGAAGACTTTCTCCTCACTCCCTCAGCATACCCATCTCTTGCTCTAGCAAGTGCTTATATTCCAGCAAATGTCTTATAAACTCTTAAAAAAAAACAGAGGTCCCCACGAGCAGCTCTCCAGCACGGCCACGGCCCCAGAAGCTCAAGGACTTAATGCAGAAAACCAGCAGCTTGGAGCAGAAAAGCGAACGGACTATGCGTTAAACGGCGCCATTATGCCTGCCCCGAGGGGAAAGGGTGTTGCCCCATTTGCCCTCTCCTCTCTGGAAAGAAAGATGGCGGCCACATGGGAGCCTTGTGGACAGCAGGTATGAGCCGGGGGTCAGGGGCAACAAAAACCTCATGGGAAGGGGGGTGTGTTACGGCCCGTCCTTCATGCCCTACCGAGGTCACCAGTTGCCCCCCACGAGTGGCTCTCCGGCACGGCCACGACTCCAGAGCACAGAAACCAATATCTTAATTATCTGACTTTTAGTAGAAATACCTCCAGGATTAATAAATAAAATAGCAGAAATCCAAAACTGCGTGGCCGCAATAGTGGCCGCGCGGCATCATTTAATTCTTGAACCCAGCTGTAGCAAGAAAATCATTTCACAACGCTTTTTCAGCATGTCTGATTGGGGTGGGGGGTAAACTCTAAATAATAATGGTGCATCTTTTATCGAAACAATGAATCTAGTCAAAGTAGATAGAGTGTTAACTAGAACTCATCTGCCTCACAGGAATTGGGAAGGGTGGGAGGTGGGGTTCTATTGGGGTTCGTGGTAAAAAATAAGTATTGGTAAAGGGAAATGTGTTTGATATTTACATGACTGAGACCTAAACCTGAAAGCTCTGTAACTTTTCCCACAGTGATTCAATAAATAAATAAATAAAGTTTAAAAAAAAACAGAGGGAAGCAAGCAAACAAGAATGTGATATCTAGGAAGATGCTATTCAGAGCTAGTAGTACCAAGAGATTTTAAAGATTTTTTTTGGTAGATTTCCATCATGCTATAATTGAACAAACCAAATCCAGACTCATGTGATGGTATGTATGCATCTCCAAACACCTCAATGTTAATATTTTGCGGGGGAATATTCAATTATGTTAGGTACAAAAAGGAAAATAAAGATACAGAGATACAGATGAAAACTTGTCTCATCCTGAACTCCTCATTTTGGGAAAACCAATTGTGTCTGCCTGCAAATATCAACACCTCATCTTTCTCCATCCAGCCGAGTTTGCCTCCCTGCTAATCCCCTGCATACCAGGCATGATGTTTCTTAGAACAGTGACCACAGCCAGATCCCTTCATTGTAACGCTCTCTCTCTCTCCAGAATACCTCTTGGCCCAATCTCTCAACTTTTTCTAAGTCTGTGTCCTGAAAGTCTCCATGGGTTTGAATTGTATCATTTAAAAGAACAGCCTCCACACCTCTACCAAACTCCCAGCCCCTTCTCCTACGCTTTTTATTTTATTTCCATAGCACTTGACCTCGTTTTACATACCAGGCCATTTACTTCATAGTTTATTTCTGGCTGTTTATTTTCTGTCTCCTTCTTCCTGCTAAAATAAAAGTTTCATTGAGGGCAAGGAGCTTTGTTTTCTCTGCTAACCCTCCTCAAGCCCCTACAACATAAAATATTTTTGAAATAAGTAATATCATGCTGAAGCTAACAATGACTAACCCAAACAAGGTCCTGGATTGAATTCTCACGTTAAATAAATTCCCTTCATTCCCATTGACTGGACCTGATTTCTCCTCACTTCTTTGTGTGAACATTCTTCGGGAAAGGAGTCTGGTCTGTCTGTTTGTTTGCTTTGAAGGCACATGCAGTAGTGCTTGGGGAACAATTCCAGCTTAGTACTCAGAGCTCACTTCCAACAGTGCTTAGAAGACCACATGGTGCTGGAGACTGAGCCTGAGGATCTTGCACGCAAAGCATGAGCTCTAGTCCACTAAATTTATTCCCCAGCCTGCAATCTAATCTTTTAACTCTTATACTTGCAAAGCTCATCTTTTATAATAGTTGTGCTCTAATTTTCCCGATTTCTGTATCATTAGATTAAAAAATTAGTGAAGGATGAGGAAATTAAATTCCCATCTTTGAGGATGGAAAGCAAAGAGATTAACAGATTTCTTTGAAAATTTCTCTCTATTGATTAGAGATGCTAAGCTGAATCCCAGTACTTCTACCTCCTGGACTGAGTGACCTTGGGTGACCAGGGTTTCATAACCTCTTGAGTATCCCCCTCTGTAAAATGGAGCTAAACACATATATTTGTATGTTTAGGTCCATTGATGCCTAAATTGAGTAGTGGATATAGAAAATCTGCCCCAGTGCTTGGTTTGGTACAGGCACCTCCCCTTCCTGGTGCCATTCAGTGGCTCCATCTTGAACACAAGATTGGATTGATGTGACCAAACTCCTCCCTAGAACAGCTAGCTCCTTTGTGACTGTTCTTTATCTACCCATTCATTTACACAACAAGTATTGAGCATTTACAGGTACTTGGCACTGGTTTAAGCTCTGAAGATACATGAGACACCCTCTGAGAGAAAGCTTAGCAGGAGCAATAGCAAAAAATTCACAGAAAGACTTTCTTTTTAAATTCTGCAACATCAGTAATCTTTCCAAATCAATAATGGCTTGAGAGCCTTGGGGACTGAGGTACCAACAAAACCCCAGAAGATAACTAGTCTTGCTCAGTCTATGAGAGGGAAAAGATCAGTTCCGTATTCCAATCTGTTACAGACTAGCAGTTTTGCAAAATTTGATAAAATTTAACCATTAGGGGCTAGAATGACAGCACAGTGGGTAGAACGGTTTTCTTATACACAACCAACCTGGGTTCAACCCCCAGCTTCCCAGATTGTCCCCTGAGCCTGCCAGGAGTGATCCCTGCATTCAGAGCCAGGAGTAAGCCCTGAACACTACTGGGTGTGGCCCCCGAACAAACAAACAAAAACAACTATTAGGAAAATTATTTTAAGGCGACATCAAGACCCCAAGTGTTGGTTAGATTCAATAGGCTTAAAGCCATGCTGTCAATTGGCTGTAAAATTTCTCAGCACTTACTCTCACTTTCTGTCCTGATCTCATCTTGGGCCAGAAATGAACAGCTTGTCACCTGCCACTTGTCCTTGGGTCTCACTTTGAATAGCATGGAACTCCATGAGATACCAAGGTATTTGGGTATTAAAGCCAGACACATTAATGTTATATACATCAAAGGTTCCGGTGAAACAGTGAAGCAGAGGACGGGGCTGCTTTGGAGAAACTGTGATTTAGAGACCAAGTGATGTGATTGTCAAACATTATTTTCTCTGCAGCCAAGCTGCAAAGAAAGCCACACAAATAAAATCCAGCATTTCTACAGTCTACTGCACTTCTACACTTTTACTGCAAAACTGCAAAACAGTGGTTAATTAGAATCAGATGCTTCCAAGTTCATAGTAAGCCTATCACATAATTAAAATTGACCTCTGGGGTGAGGGGGCATGGGAAACCCCCAAACCCTTTTAGAACAGGTGACTGTAATTTTCTTTTCTATTTCACAGGTTGGCTTATTGTCAACATACCGTTCTTTCTCTATTCAGTCCTTCCACCTCCGCAACTTGAAAACAATAACTTTGAAAACTAGAAAATGACTATTCTGATAGGGTGCCTAATTCCTTGACATATAACTCAAAGAACAAAAAAAGAGAGAAGGAAAGAAAGAAAAGTAGTACATTTCAAAGCACTCAAAATAGAGGAAGGAAAGTTCACACAATTCTTTTGACCAAAAATAACACCCATGACTCACACACATTCACTATAACAATCCATCAAGCTAACATGCGGTGCCTGCTTATAATTTATCAGCTATGCACAGAGTTTTGTCTCCATGTTATTGAGAAGGACTCTGTGACCATCAGTTTAGAACAGCAGCACTATGTAAAGGAAATGTCAGGGTAAAAGTGGCAGACCGTCTAACACTGGGAAGGATTTTTACAGGGAAGGAAAACAAAAACCAAGAGATTATTTCCTCTAACTCTCTGGAGCAGGGGGTAGCATAAATAGAAAACATGAAAAGGTTTACAAAGAAGCCTCGTTTAAATATTCAGATCTAGCCAGGCCTGATGTTAAAGGTTGACATTTTGGTTCTGACAATAGCAGAATGCTGAGTAGTATGAAATGTATTGTGGGATCCATACATTTCAGTCCCTTT